GCAAAAATGCACAAAGAGCTTTGTTCTGGAGACAAGATCACATTCCTTCATGTTTTTTTTTCCTTCTTAAACTCAATTTGTCTGCAAAATAGCTGAGAAAGTACCTGATATGGGTGCTCATTACCTTAGCAAATGTATTTATGTTTAGGCTGCCTATGCAACTTGCATGAAGAGGGAGATGCCTGTGGCTGGGATTCCCATTTGGTCATGTGGGTTTTGTCCAAGTGTCTAAGGGTGTGGTTTTTGTGTGTGTGTGTTTGTTTGTTTGTTTTCTTCCTCCCTTCTTGCAGGCCAGGAGCAGAGATCTCCTCCCCAGAAGTAGTTCTGAAGAGACTCAGGGCACTAAGCCACAATGGGCCCCTCTTTGCCATCTCTTTCCTGGCTTTCTGGGTTGCCTGGGCTCATCCTGGTTTGCAGTTCCTTCTCTGCCTTTGCCTCTACGACAGCTTTCTCACCATGGTGGACCTCCATCACAACGCCTTGCTCGCAGACCTGGCTGTTTCAGCAAAGGACAGAACTAGCCTCAACTTCTATTGTGCCCTCTTCAGTGCCATAGGCTCGCTCTCTGTCTTCATGTCCTATGCAGTGTGGAACAAAGAAGACTTCTTTTCCTTTCGCATATTTTGCGTGGTGCTGGCCCTTTGCTCCATCATTGGTTTTACCCTGTCAACACAGCTGCTTCGCCAGCGGTTTGAGGCTGATGGAAAAGCAAAATGGGACCAAGAATCAACCCTGAAGGAGTAAGTGTCACCAATTCTGCAGCTGGGACAAAGTCCTGGTGTAGAACTGCAGAGTCCTATTTTGCTTTACAGCAGACTAAATGTGTGGTAAGATGCAGGACAAGGCAAATTTTTGTTAATCATCTATGGTTCTTGTCTGTTGATACAGTTTTCAGAATCCCTTCTGCCACCCTGGCTCCTAAGGCCCTCTGAAAATAGGACAAAACTATCTCGTGACACTTCTGGCCCAAACTGGAGGCAGAGCCCTGACCTGCTGTATGGCCCATCCAGTGTTTGGAACAAGAAATGTTAATAACTAGAGCACCCAGGCCTGTGAGTGGCAAAATGTCAGAAGAACCTTATGAAAAATTATTCCCGCTTGAGCATGAGACCACCTTGCTGCCCATTTCCTGTGGAATAGGACAAGCGAATGTCTCTTACCCCTCTGCTCGCTTTAGCTACCTGATAGCGGCTGGGCTGTTGGTGGGCCATGATGCAGCTGATTTCCCTGTTCAGCTCCCTGGCTCTTCCCTTGGGCTGCCTCATTTGTTGTCTGTTGTAAGCTGCCAGCATTATGCTATACTAACACCGCAGATCCCGCTGAGATCTGCCAGGTGAGCTAACCGTAGGGATCTGGAGTAGGAGCATGTGTAGTGTAATGGCTGGTAAGAAGAATGTTTTTGTGGACAAAGGTCTGAATTTCAGATTCAGAGAATAAATTTTCTTTGGGAGACCTGTAGCCTGTTGTTCTTGCTAGCAGTAAACAAACCTGGTTGCAGACTCTGCTGTTCTGGTTTGGTCCAGGAAAGGGGAAGGTCAGGATGGGAGCTGAGGAGAGAGAGCCCTGCATCTGTCCCAGGGGGCTGGGAGCTCTCGCCTGCTTGCATGAAGGACTCACAAGTAGCTTTTTTCTCCCTTTAGGCTGTACATTGAGAAGCTCTCTGTCCCCCAGGAGAAGAGGATCACCCTAGCAGAGTATCTCCAGCAGCTCTCCCGACATCGCAACTTCCTCTGGTTTGTCTGCATGAACCTAGTCCAGGTAGGTGCAGCAGTGACACGCTGTGATTCAGAGGATGAGCCACTGGCTGCGACTGTCTGAGATGGTGATTTAACAGGATGCTAGTTCCGCAGGAACGGCAAAGGTGTTTCCAGCATCCGCTTGCTCTCGGAGCCTCCTGCATACATTTGGCAGATTCAGCGGCTGGTAGCTGCTCTCCCTGCCTGTGACCCGAGGACACTTCCTGAGCAGACTGTGGGGAGCTTGCTCCTCTGTCTGCAGTGCAGGCTGGATGACGGAGGGCTGACTGAGCTCTGCACAGCCCTTATGGGGTGCAGAAACACAAGGTCCGGCTTGCAGCTCAGGAGTTGAGGAGTGCAAATTTGCTGGCCTAGCTGTCAGCACTGTCTCCTTCCCCCTTTGCGTTCCTGAGGCTCACATCACCGCTCTCGCTGACCAGCTGGATCCGCCTTCCGGCTGGCCTTTGCCATTTCTGTCCTACATCCTCTTCTGCGATTACTACGAAATGCCAGCAGCCTGCCTAGACTTCCAAAGCTTTCTGCGCTGCAGTCAGCTCCTGTCTCCTCAGGGATCCCTCAGTTCCTCTCGGGCCAGCTCTGGATGCTGATCTGCATCTTTGTGTTTGAGGGCCTCGCTGCCTTCTCCCTCCTGCCATGCCACTGCCTCCCCCAAACCCTTGTGGCCATCTTCTTGCCCTGCTGTGCCCCAGCAGTGCTATGTGCTATACAGGTCCCTCTCATTGCCCTAGCAGAGTGAGCTCACTAGTAAGGAATGCTTTGCCAGCTGGGAAGCAGTACTGACCCAGGCACACAGCGGGCACGGCTGGTGGTGTTGCAGCTTTGCAGTCTCAAAGCCTGCAGTGTTGTAACCTCCACAGCCGAGCTCCCCACTCTGCTGAAGTACTCCAGGCCCACCCTGCACGATCCCTTGGCACAGGGCACCTGAGACAACAGAGCCTAGAGGGCTGTTAACTTTTTCTGTTCTCTTACTGCTGTTCCTGATGATTAGATTGTCTGCATGCTGCTTTCACAGGTGTTTCACTGCCACTTTAACAGCAACTTCTTCCCCCTCTTTCTGGAGCACCTGCTGTCAGACCAGATCTCTGTCTCTACTGGATCCTTCCTACTAGGTGAGTCTCGGATGGGACTGGAGGGAGCAGCCAGCTTAGGATCTGGCCAGACTCTGGATTCTCCCCTCACAAAGTCCAGCTGAAGAGGTGTGCTTGCAAGTCTCTGGGCTGTAAGATTCTGTCCCCCCACACCACATGCTTCCCTGGGACCTCTTGAGTCTCCAACCTTGCTTCCTTCCTGAGCACAAGAGAAATAACTTGGAGCCTTTTCTGATGGTGAAAAGCACAAAGGGTTGGGCTCCAGCCTAGACTCCACAGCTCCATACGGGTTTTGCTCCAAGTGCAACAGCAGTATCTGCAGATACAGCTCCAGGACAGGAATTGAGTGCAACAGAAGTAGCCCTTAATTTAATCTTTCTGTAGCATGTGGACCATTTCCGGACTGCCCCAGATCTGTGGGCAGTCTGTGTTCCTAGAAGGCTAGAGTTACCCAGGAGGATTCTGTGCGGGCCAGGTCTGGTCATGCTGTCCGATCGCTCTAGTTTCTGCCCCTGTGTGACACTAGGCAAGTCTGCTCTTCCTCCCTGCCCGTGAGGTTGGTGGAAGAAGGCCTCCCTCTGCAGGAAGTGTGTGTGCTCTGCTGCAAACCCACCGAGTAAATCTGTTATAGCTGTTATCTCTTCCTGTGTGTGGTGGGGGGATGGGGATGGGGATTGTTCTGTACTTCCTGTCCTGCACTCCTGCTGGCTGTAGCCAACTTCGTCCTGGCTCTCGGTATCGGTCCTCCGAGGAGGCAGACACTGAAACTCCTTCAAGCTATTTTTGTCTCTGTCTCTGCTCAGGTGTTTCCTACATTGCCCCTCACCTCAACAACCTCTACTTCCTGTCCCTCTGCCGCCGTTGTGGGGTTTATGCTGTGGTGCGAGGACTCTTCTTCCTGAAGCTGGCTCTGAGTGTTGCCATGCTCCTTGCAGGACCTGATCAGGTGTATCTGCTCTGCATCTTCATTGCCAGGTACGCAGGCAGCACTCACTTTGCCTGTTCTCCGCCAGCCAGGAAAGGAAATGGCTTGTGCCCATTTCACAGAGAGGAATTGTGGGCAGGGAGGAGAAGCTGGCATTGAACAGAACCCAAGTGGCTCCCAGGTCTGATGCTTCCTGGTTCTAACAGCTGCCTGAGCTTGAGATGGGTCAGACTGCAGAATCTGCTGGCTGCGCCCACAGCAGAGCGAGGGAGGCAGTGATGGTCAGGCCCTGCCACACAGGAGGACAGAGATCTGGCAGGGGAGGTGGCAGCCTGCAGTAGCCTCTCCCAGCTGCTGAGACAAGCTCCCCTCCTCCTCTGCAGCCTGCCTGGGGCAATCGCTCTCAGTAAGTGCAGCCGCTGCCCATGAGCCACTTGCGTAGCCACTCTAGCTCCTGTTGGCCTTTACCTGGCTGCGGATTCTTCCCTGCAGAGGTGTGTCCATGCACATGCATATTGCACGCTTCTTACAGGCAGGAGCTAAGCTGGTTGGGGAGGTACTGTGGGCTTCCTCCTGTCCCTAAACCTGTCTGTGCTGCAGATTGGGACTAACCCAGGGCATCACTGCAGGATACACATGGCTTATTGCTAGCAGTGCTCCCCTCTGGTACCAAGGGCTTCTGAAATCCTCATTTTAAATGCTAGGGAACCTTCCTCTTCTCTTTCTCTCTCTCTCCCTGTTTTCTTTGATCCCTCACCTACTCCTGTCACTTCTTGGTGCCCCTATTCAGTGCTTTGCCTGTTGTCCTGCAGCAACCGAGTGTTCACAGAAGGGACCTGTAAGTTGCTGAACCTGGTGGTCACTGACTTGGTGGATGAGGATCTAGTCCTGAACCGTCGGAAGCAAGCAGCCTCAGCACTGCTGTTCGGGATGGTTGCCCTGGTCACCAAGCCAGGCCAGACTTTTGCCCCTCTGATCGGCACCTGGCTGCTCTGTGCGTACACAGGTAAGAGCGCCGCTGGGGACTGCAGCGAGGTAGACAAGGGTAGCCCTGCGCATTGGCATTTGGACAGGACCCATGGGCAGGGTCACCTGCAGGATGTTTTTGTGCCGCAGTAATAGTGTTGCCTTGCCCACTTGGCGCAAACATTCCAGTGAGCTCAGGCTTGTGTGGAGCCTGGCCCAGCTGGCAGGTGACTCATTGCTTCGCTGGGGTCTGGCCCTGCTCCCTGTCTCTGTGCTAGGCTGGCTCATTCCTCAGCTAAAGACAAGGCCAACAGTGGCCACAGTTTGCAAGTTAAAGATTTGAATCCACGCTGTTAAGATTGGTTTCAGTTGCCCTGTCCCTTTCTAAGACGTAGGAGTTTGGTGTCATCCACAGTGCTTTTTGTCTTGGCGGGGGGGGAGGGTGAAGAGAGCTCCTTCAGTTGCCAAGCTGTGACTGATCTCTGCCTCTCCAAGCCCAGTCCCTCAGAGAGAGAAGAGACAAGGGTCCCACTGTTCCCACTCACAAATTCTCCCCTGGCACCAGGCTACGACATTTTCCAGCGCGACCCCTTGAGCAACGTGGTGAGCGCCCAGCCGAAGCTGGAGTCTGATGCAGCCTGGGAGCCAACTCTTCGCCAGGGCTGTTTTTACCTCCTCGTCTTCGTACCCATCACGTGCGCGTTGCTACAACTCCTCAGCTGGTCTCAGTTCAGCTTGCGTGGGAAGCGTCTGCAGATGGTGAAGGCTCAGCGCCAAAGCCTGATGCAAGGCCGAGCTCCAGAGGTCAAAATGATCTAGGGATTTCTGAGCCCATGCGGGTGTTCTGTGTTCTGGCTCCAGGCTGATGCAGGACTGCAGACTAGGCAAAGGGATCACTGGCTGAGAAACCCACGTTTACTGTTCTGTAACTGTGAAATGCCGTAATGCCAATGTTTACTCATTTCAGGAGGTGGTCACGGGGGAAGGCAGAGAAGCGTTCAGCATGTAATGGGGCAGGGATAGGTGGCTGTGCCCACAGGAACAAGAGCATTTTATCCTAGCCAGTCTCTGGTCCCAAGGAGCAGAGAGCTGCTAATTATGGAAGAGGAGGCACCAAGTTGCAGTGTATGATGGAGGGCCACATCCAGTACCCTGCCCTGGGCATGGCCCTTGGGAGCTGTAGCCTCTCTGGCTGAGCAGGAGGGAGACCGCACAGGGAGTCCTTCCTTGCTAGAGCCCTGCAGCTTTGGGGAGTGGAGTAGGAGGCTCCTGAGGAACCAGATGACCAAGGGGTGACTTCAGGACAGCAGGAAGAACAGGGATGAGAGCACCCTGAAGGCCTTTCCCAGTAGCTGGTACAACCCCTCCTACATGGAGGGCTGCAGTTCTTGGACCAAATTTACTCTGAGGCTTTTCTTGGTCCCAGGACAACACCCTGTACAGCCAGGGTCCTCTGGCTGTTCTTGTTCTGCACTGAGGCTCCCTCTTGTGTGATCGCACAGAAAGAGTTGTTGCTGAGCTGGTAAATGCACTGGGCTTGAACTGTGCTCAGAGCCTAGAGCTGGAGCACCTTGTCTGGCATTGTCTTACCTGCGTTTACCTAGTCTCCCATCCACAGCCCCTTCCATCAGCACTGTCACACATCTGTGCCATAAGCGCCCTTCTATCGTGGTTGGGGCTGTAGGATCAAGGTCAACGAACCAACCTGTAACTGAGTGGAGGGAAGATAGCAGGAGGTTTAGTCTTCCCAGGCTCTGGCTGGAAGCAGAACGGACAGGTAGTCACCAGAGGGATCCCTGAGGTGAGGGCTGGTGCCTCAATCCTGAACATGTCAGTGGGCAAAACCAGGTCAGAAGAGATATGACAAAGCAGGCTGGGTCTGGGCGAGCAAACATCTGTCCTGTGCCTTCCTGCAGGAAGAAGGGATGTCTAGGCAGTGGTTGAAGGCCACTGTGTGGTCATGGACATGCAGTTCTCTGCTCAGTCACCTCCCTGGCTTCTCCACCAGGTTTCCTTGTGGGTTACAGCCAACAAACCTGCCATCTTGCCTCAGGACCCAGCTGCCTTCTGTCTTGGACCAAGATGCAGCAAAGCTGTTGTGGTACCTGCTGCAAGGCTTCTGTAGCTCAATATGGTTCAGTCATAAATTATTTGTGCACCTTTTAACAAGGTTTGAGACTGATTCTTCATTTCATAAATTAAAGATGATCTTTTTCTGTATTGCTGTGGTCTCATTTGAATTGGCAGCCCTTCCCCCACCCAAGTCTGGCCCTGTATGGGCTCACCTGGTCCTGGGGCAGCTGCTTTTCTACTGGCCACTTGGGACAGAAAGTTGTCTACATGGAGGGACCTGACCTGGGTCTCTCTTGAAGCTCTCCTGAGCCTGGCAGGATCCTGTAGCTCTCTCCAGGTGAGTCCCAGGGTGCAGCTCCTCAACAGCAGGAGAGCAGGAGCTTGGGCTTGGCCTCTGGCATCCCAGCAGGGCTGTCTCAGTGCTGGTAGTGTCCCAGACACAGGCTGCTGGCTAGCACACAGACGCTGGCTCTTCTGTAACCCAGGGCCATGTTCATCTTGGATGTGCTTCCCATCCCTGCTTCTAGTGCACCTTCATGCAGCCCTGCCAGGACTGATCGCTGGTGATTCCTGGGGAAACTTGGCTCTCACACCCTCTCCAGACCTTGCGTTCTGCCTGTGAGGCTCCCCTTCACACCTTACTTCAGTGAAGGGGGGGGGGGGGGGGGGGGGGGGGGGGACAATTTTATTTTGGGTTGTTTGACCCACTTACCTGTTGGTAGAGTCCCAGAAATGTGCTGTCCATTAGTGAAGCCTTGTAAAAAGTCTCTTGGTAGCATTGAGGTGGCTATAGATGCAACAGTCTTACTACAGCCTTTCCAATACATAAGGGTTTGAGACAAGCTGAAACAACTGCAAGCAAGTTAAGTGAACCAGAGCTGCAGCTGACACATGCCTGCTCAGTGATTTTTCTAGCAGAACAGGTGGCTCTAACCTGGCTGGGTTTGTGGTGGGTGGCAGGGGTATGACTAGGGTTGTACTGGAGAGAATGGGACTGCTCCAAGGATAGTGGGTTGAAGTAGGCCCTTCCCTTCCCAGCAAAATTGTGTGCTGGGGCTTGGGCCAGTTTCTGTGAGGGACTGAGTGCAACAGCAGGTTGGCAAGTCACCAGCCTTCTGGGTGGAAGTAAAGCATTTGTCCCTGCTGCTTTGCAAGGTCCCAGCCACCAGGTTGTCCCCTCCCTTCACCAGCTTGAACAGGAGATGGCAAAAAGGCTGAGAGCAGTTGCAGGCCAGGCTGGCCACAATGCTCCCTGGACACATCCCACTCACTGGGCTGCAGCTAAGGTGGGCAGAGGCCTAGATGTACCTGGGAAGGCCCTGCTTGAAGAGTCAGAATTGGA